ATGCGCGGTCCACGCGACGATGCGATGCGCCCGGGGAACCCTCGTCCAAACGGCTCTCCTAGCAGGTCGCCAGAGGCGCGTCGCGGTTGAACGTTAAAATGAAATTATATTTTAGGACGGGCCAGTGACGACGAGCAGCGATCCGGACTAGCCGTTGAGTGGCAGAGAAGCTGGCCAGTGGGCCTTGCGGTGTGCGTCCTGCAGGGGTAACGCGGGAGGTCGTGCTAAGTCGCCGGGGGTTTTGGCAGAGGGCCTGGGACGTGACAGGAGCCGAGACGAACGGACGATCGGGCGCACGTGACCAGCAGCGTGCGAGGGCGATTTGGGAGCCGGCGGTTTATCGATAGTCGGGGGCTGTCCTGTGCGAAACAACATGCTCGCGACAACGCGGGGGGGCCGAGGTCAGGTATAACAGCTCGCTCATGGTTCTTTTCCTAGTCCAAGTATAGCGTGTTTGACGAGTTGCTGCTTTTTTGCAACATCTTGCCATGCCTCCGCCCCTCAACGGCTGGCGAGACAAGCTCAGCGCGCTCGAGGACTTGTACGAGCGACATGTCAAGGGCGGTAAGTGACGATCCATTGGCCTGTGAGGGCTCCCTTTGACTTCAAACCCTCCTAAACGCCTGCGCGACCCACATCGGACCAACTCTGTTGCGCTTCTTCGTCGAAACATTGCCATGGAGTCTAACGTGTCGTCAGTCCCCAAACCGCCCGTCCTCTCTGCGAGTGCTGCGGCGCTTCTGTCGGTACGTTTGTTTCAAGCTCCCACCCCCACCACCATTGCCCTTCCTCTCACCCAATCGCACCGCATGCGCCAAACATGCTGAAGTACAGCCAACACCTGCGCCTAAATATGGCTAACACACGCGATTGCAGGCTGCCTATGTCTTCATCTACGTAATCCCCTTCTACCTGTCGCCCGCAACGCGACCCTCTCCGACTCTCACGCGCGATGCACCGTCGTCGATACGCGCCCGTGTACGCGCAGTTACCTTCTCCACTGCCCTATGCTCTGTCCTCACCGTAATCGTACTCTACCAACATGATGCGTCCGCCATGGAGATCCTCAGCCTGCTTGGCATATGGCCTGTTTCACCCGTAGATACCATCCGGACCATGCTGTTGGTCGTGATCCTCTTCGCAGGCCCAATCTTCGAGCATGGTATTGTAGACGATGGTTGGAGAGACTGGATCAAGCTAAACGGTGTCAACGAGTCCTTGAGTAGCTGGATCGGATACCGGAATTTTGTAGTCGTACGTTGTCTACTTCGAGTTACTTCCTGCTCCGCTAACACTCGCACACCAGGGCCCCGTCAGTGAAGAGCTCGTCTGGCGCTCCTTCATCGTCCCCCTCCATGTCCTCGCCCAATTCTCCGGCAAGCAAATCGTGTTCCTCACACCACTGTACTTCGGCATCGCGCATCTGCACCACCTTTACGAATTCCGCATAACCCATTCTGAAGTCCCGTTCTTCATCGCCGTGCTTCGTTCACTCTTCCAGTTCACATACACATCGCTCTTCGGGTTCTTCGCCGCCTTCGTCTTCATCAGGACTGGAAATGTGTACACGTGCATGCTAGCGCATACCTTTTGCAACTGGATGGGGCTTCCACGCTTCTACGGTCGTGTGGGAGTTGAAGCTGGCATCCCCATCGGACCGCCAGATGTCGATAAGAAAGATGATGAGCAAAGGAATGTTCCAGCTTATCAAGGGAAGGGTGTTGGATGGACAGTAGCCTATTACCTCGTACTCGTAGCTGGCGCTCTAGGCTTCTATCATCAGCTGTTTCCGCTGACCGAGAGCAGCCATGCTCTACCTGTTGACTTGAGTAAGTAGTAAGGACATCTGCGTGCTTGGTGTCTTCGGAACGCAGAAAAGGGGACGCGCAGAGTTACACCGTACAGTCGCACACGACGTACAGCACAGCAATTCAGATATCATAGAGGTGGTTATCGTAATCTCGCAATAGCCCACCAGTTATCCTTCTCGTAGCCCGATTCCAACACCACTCCGCCAGCCTGCTCAATATCACCCTCAAGCTCCCCTTTCCGATACAGGTGATAATATCTCAAGAATGTCTTGTCACCATCTGGCTTCGGCGCCTCTTCTTCGTGAGCTTGACTCTCATTCTTCTTCTTCCGTCCTTTCTCCTTGTCCTTTTTCTGCTTCAAGACCCACGGCACCATGACATCCTGCTCGTGACCCTCGTCCCATCCTCTTCGACTATCTTTTTGCTCGAGTGCCCAAACGTAGATCAGTGCTCTACCACCTTCCACCTTACCATCACCGTTCCCATGAGATGATGATGATGATGGCCGCAGTAGGTCCAAAACACATTTCACGGCCTCCACCCTCCTTGCTGGCGTAGATAAATGATGCACGACCGCTATCGAAATAGCAAAATCAAATACACCATTTGGATGAGGTAGCGAGAGGTTGTCTGCTACGACCACATCGTGCGGCTCATGTTGTTTGGCAATCTTGACAAGGTTTGTTGATCTACATCTTCGTTAACCCTAGAACAATTATTCGTAATGCTCGAAACAGTCATTCAAACTTACCGGTCACAACCCACGATCCACACTTTCTTATTAACAGCCAAGTATTTTCCGTTTCCACATCCCACATCGGCACCTATAGCGCCATCACACTGTTCCTTCAGAAAACGTTCGACGATAGGCCATGGCTGATATCTTGTTAGTCATAAATGCTCTCTTTCTGATTTATGCCACTAGTAGCAAGGGTGGACGCACACCTTGTAGCGAGTGGACGAAAAGTGCGACGCAATTTCTTCGTAGACCGAATGGACGTGTTCAGCTTCATACGATACACCTTGGGTCTCTGAAGCCGCCATTGTGTTATTGCATCGATGGATATGTGTAGATGACCGTGCAGGAAGTTCTAAAGTGAGTAGATTGATGGGTGATGGGGCCAATGGGGGGTGGAGGGAGTGCCAAGACGCTGCCGAGGAAGGCAGCTTTTGGCGCTGTCTTTGTCGCTCAACACTGCCATCTGCTCATGCTTCGATTCAGACCATTGTCTTACCAAGCCTACCATATCCCAAACACATGCGAGTATGAACAGATCATGACGACTTCGATATCGACTGATTTGCTTTGAGATGAACCTTCATCGAAGTTCCAGGTTTGGACACTATTCCAGGACCATCGGAGAACTTGCATCTCTCAGAAAAGGCAGTAACCTTTGACCCAGTATGGGTCCAACATGAGTATACAGGCCTCAAGATTGGTTCAACGTTTGAGAGATAACTGTATAGTCTCGTATCATGGAAGCGACTAGAGAAAAACGTACACCAGTTTCATCCTTGAGGTCTCGTTGGAGGTACTCGGCGTATGCTTGAAGCGATGAATGCCTATCCTTGCGAAGAGTCGAAGAGAGTGTGTGTATGAACAATATGCCCATACCTACAGATACCTACTCAGGCTCGCCCAACGAGAAGTATCTAATCGAGTATGCGTCCGCATCGGATGGCGTCTACCAATCGAAATTGGTGTCATGATTTTATAGGCCACACACTCTGCTGAACTTATCGATTTACTTCATGCAAGCTTATGAATCCAAAGTTTGATAATCAATTCGTCCCCTCAGGTACAGAGTAGTGTTACTCCGAACGGTCTTCTAGCTCAGCAAACCTTAGGTTAAGATCATTATCCCAAAAGATTAGATGAAGCAGAAATCGATTCAACACGATACGGGCCTTAGACCACGATATTGGCGACCAGAACACAGAGGAGAATGTGGCGTCGTCGTAATCAACAGAATTCGTCACATCTAGCGAATCCGGTGGCATGCGAAAGCTTTTGACCAACTCACAAAGAAAAGCTTGAAAGCTCTTCAACATAGCAAGACACCTCTTGAACTTTCGAGCTTCACATTCCAGCACTTTTGTAGGGAGCTGACTTGAAGAGCTAAGAAAAATCCTTGTCGCTTGTCGACGCCATGGCACTTCCGTATTCGAATATGTGTGTTTAACCGGCAGCACGTCACTGGTCAACGACGACGCAAGTTTAGATGGAACTTCATCAATACATATTGCGCCGCGTACTGAACTGCGAATTGTCAATAGAAGAGGCCTTCTGCCGCGTGGCACTCGCGGTGCCTACAAGATTGATCATCTGCAAAAGATCCAAAGCTCTTGGCTGCCTGCATCTTACACAGTTTTACTTTCAGATCGTTTTGAAGCTTATCAAACGCCCATACCGCTCAAGATGCATATATCAACCCTCATGGCGACCATCTTATTCGTTACCGCCGCTGTCGCAACGCCCTACCCTTGGGCTGCACCACAAGCCAGTCTTGCTCCAACTCCAAGTGGTGTGCGAAAACACAATCGCACGCACAGGAACAGACACAAAGAGCCAACACCTACCTTTAAGGAGGGTTGTGAATGCGCAATGCCGGTTGTGCCAATGAACCTGCTCAGCGCGAATGAGAGGTGCTTGATGAAACAAGCTGCTGCTATGGGTTGCTATCTAAGCTCCAAGGGCGGATGTCCATCGCCGGCACCTGCTGTAAGTACAGATGTGAAGAATGAGTAGAGAGTGCTGACCCGTTGTAGTGCGGACTCGGACCCCTACCAGGCATACCTATGCAATGAAGCCAGAGTCGTGATGCGCTCGATCTTCAGAAGATCGGACATGGACGTCGTGTACAGACCTCGCATGGTATCGGACACAGGTATCTAGAACACTGTGGCGTGAAGAGTTGCCATAGTCACCCTCCTACCGAATTCAGCCGTTGCGTATAAAATCTCAGCGTCTTCATGCAGAACGTTTTGTTCTTCAATTCATATTTTCAAGTAGTCTTCAGTTTTCTACAAGATGGCGATCGGCAAGTAACCTTGGTGGCCATACCATTCGTGAGGCATCCTCACAGCTAAAACGCCTGACCAAGCCCAACATGTTCCCCAAGACTTCTTCAGTTGCAACCCGCGTTCCTCTCACCTCCGTTGAGAGATTTGAATGATCCCGCAGGCCGTCTACCAAAGCCTCTTCCTCTTTCCCTGGCTATCATCTACACATCCACTAAGTGCCCTCTTGTTAGCGCCAGCGTCTCGAACTACCCTCATCCTATCCTTCTTCAACGATCCAGCATGCCTGCCTGCGAACTCTCTGTCCGGACATCCATCGTCACCGGATTCGATAAGCGGTTCAATATCTGCTGCCCGGAGCAGCGTAGGTACTTCACTTAGCAGAGCTCGGTACTGACCTTTCTCTCTGCACCAGAGTATGAGTGCTGTCAGTGGTCCGGCGTCCGGGCCAGTAGGCAACGACTGTAAGCCGTGGGCGAGGGCGAGAAGTGGGTAATCGATCTTCTCCCAAACATCGTAGACCCATCCTTCAGCCGTATGGTTCGTGGTCATGTCGATGACTGAGGATTTGAGAGCAGGTGAAGGTGTAGGTGTGTCTTTGCCGACTTCGTCGATGTCCATTTCTTCAACCTCCTCGAGCTTGACGCAGTCCCTCTTCCTTACAGCCATAGCAGCACATGAGATACTACCTGGCTTCACCACCTCATCGCCTTGAAGCCCTCGCGTCATGATAAGGAACTCCCGTATCATACTCCCTGTCACGCCAGCCTTTGCCATGCGCTCCGCTGCGTGACCCTAATAGTAATGCTGCGGAAAGTAAGACAGCAACTCCATGATTGTGAACTCCGTATCCTCAAGAAGAGCGATGTTCACAGTGCAAGGTGTTGCAACACTCTTGAATGGGCAGAACTGGTTCTTGTCCTTCATAGAGTCTTGGTTCTGAAGCAGCGGGTTGAGTTGGATGTTTGGTGTAGTAGGGGTCGACAGCATAGAAAGCATCATGAGCTCGGGGATAGGCGACTTTAGCTTGCGCGTTGAACGAAATGCTCCGCTTCCGTGCCATTTCTTCTCTGTCGTGGGGATGAAGTCAGCGGTATGGTTGGTCTCTTTTTCTGATAGCCAACGCCAGGCGTCGCTGAGGTCGAAAACTTTGTTCGGGCAGTCCCGTGCTTCGCGCCATGGGTAAGTGATCATGGGTATGAAGGTGTTCGAATCGGTGGGGCTGTTGATTACACCGCTAATACAGTGCTGGTCCATGGTGCGACGAGGGGCGTGGAAATCCACTTGCCCTTCCCACAGCAGTGTCCAATCCACACCATCGAAATTGTACACCTCAGCGTCGCTTCCATCACTCAGCTTGAGCATCTCAGGCAACAAGCCGAACTCAGGGTGCAACTCGCCACCTGGTACGTACTTTTGTAACCCTTGCTGCTGAAGCTCCTCACAGGTAAGCGGCATTGGTCCCACAGGAGTTAGCTTAAACGCTTGACGGTACGGGTCGAAAGCTATTGGAAGAAGTCCGGACCAAGAGACATGCTTCCATCCCACCGGAAGTACGAGTTTGGGGACAAGTGTGAAGTCGGGGAGGCCACCGACGATAGGAACGAACGCTTGGTGGAAGAGGAGACGCGGGTCTATTGTCGGGTATGGATATGAGGGATGTGTGCTTCCTCCTGGAGGATACTTTAGTTGCCAAGAGAGGGAATGAACGGTCGGTAGCTTCTTGAAGGGAACTGGATCGCTCTTGATAGGTACAATACTGAAATCAGCATGCTCGTCACGATCGGGTGCCACTGGTGAAGGTGGTAATTTCCGAACAGTCTTTGGGTCTGTAGCCGGTAGCTGGACAGTGTCTTGATCAAAAACAGCTGATTAGCTGGAGCGCTGACAATGCCAGCATTTGAAGGACTTACAGATTGGTTTCGCCTGCGTACGCAGTCTAGTACTCCGGCGAGCTTTTGTTGGATTAATCGAGCGTTCGAGCTCGCGAGCAAGTATTGCATCATTTTGAGTAGCGTCATCAACTGCTCGCAAAATTGCAGTGTTGACATTTTCGGCTTCCCTCTTATCCGTATCGGTGCAATGCTGAATCAGTATGGAGGACTGGTCGACAGCGTCCTTGGTTTGCCCTCGGGTGGTTTGCCAAACTAGCTCTTCTTTCGCGGAGCCGGCCGATGGTGTATAATGCGTTTCACTGTGGAAGGTAGGAGTGTTTGGAGACGGCAAACCATGCCAGAGCACTGGATTGCGCTTCTTCCTGGGTGTATGTGGCTCTTCCATCAATGCTGACTCTTGAGAAGGTTTGCTGTCGGGGGTAGTGGTTTCACCATCCAGGATCTGGTCGAATCAGTTATCTCCAGCGGGTGACACGTTCTGATTTTGTGATGATACTACAGTTTGCGGTGAGTTAACGTTGCCTGCCCATACGTAAGTACCCATCTCGCAAATCATATGTTTGCTCAGCCCACTCACTTGAGCTTATGTACGGCTCTCTGGTAGGAGAGGGCGTGCGGTAAGATTTCCCCATAGTGTTGGCTGTCGTTATTGGTAAATTTGAAGAGCGAGAATCAAGAAAAGCAGAGTGCAAGTCGGGCGACTAGAGGTTGTAATTCCCCATTTAGCATCACAATGAGTAAGATGAGTGATGATGAAAACAGCGATGCTAACATTTGTGGAGAAGAAGATGAGGACGAAAAGAGATAGTAGTTTCACCTTCACCGCTGGACATAACAAGTTTGAGTAATATCTACTCATTTCTACCAGGTCGTACCCAAGGCACCAATCGCTGGGCCATCTCCATCGAAGAACTCCTCGTCCAAAAGTTGGAGGATCACTTGTTGACCAACCCACTGTTCCTCCGCCGCAGGTCGGATCCTCTCCGGGGGCAGAACGAAACCAAAGTCTCCGGTGTCGGGTAATTCAATGGTCATGGAAAACTTAGCGCGACCAATAGTGTAGACATGGTCGATCGATGCACCAGTCGTCGGGTACAAGGTCGCTCCGCTAGGACCGAAGACGTACGTAGTTGCATTGGTCGAGTAGTAGCGGATGGTATCGCTCATCAAAGCAGCAGCTTTAGTCCACATGCCGAGTTCTGGTGCGTACAGGGTTTCTTTGTGGCCGAACGGGTACAATATAAGTTGAGAGTAGCTATGCCAGTCGATGTATAGCTTGATGCCTTGCTCATCGCGTATATTTCGAATCAGGTTGTCCATGCCCTGGTTCTCAGGCGTATCGCGGGGCGCTTCTCCCCTGTAGGTTTGCGAGCATGGGTCTGGCGAAGCTCCGCGTGGGTCAGCATCCCAGTTCCTGAGACTACGGGTCAGTGCATATCACAACGGCTCAAAGACAACCATCACTCACGTCTCCCAGTTTCGGTTCACGTCACGACCAAAGCACGTCTGGTTGGCAGCGTTTTCTGGTGGTGGCTGACGGTTCTTGCGCCACAAGCGGTTGTCAGTTTGAGAGAAGACGAATCCTACGACTGATAAGCGAAAACCATCAAGTCTGATCGGAGTACTATGGCTTACCATCAGGATTGACGAATGGGAACATATAGAAGTCGTAGTTGTCCAAGACGGCTTGCGTGTCGTTGTCACCTGCCTTGTATCCGTCGACAAGCTGCTTCGCGATATATTCGATGACTGGTGCAGTGATCCACTCACGGGCATGCACAGTACCGCTAAGCGTGGTTGTACAAAGTCATTATATGTTTCATATGCAATTCGTACAGGGAAACTTACTGGTAGATGACTGCAGGCTTTCCGGGACCACCAGCTCCCCAGAGATGAACGCCGAACATGTCGCGTCCTTCGTAAGATGTTCCGGTGCTCGTCCAGTTTGAGTGCTCCGGGAAAGACTCCTGTAATTCGCGCCACCAGCTAATGTGCTATGGAGAGTTGATTAGTTTTGGTTCAAATCCGGGTAATAGATCACCCACGTCTTCATATGGATGGTAGCTATCAAACCACGCATCTTCTGACCCATTCAATTGCCTCTTCCAGGCCTTCTTGACATAAGACTCTCGGGCAATGGAGTCGGCTAGGTTCGCGTGCAGAGTTCGAGATTTGAGCCCCAGTGCATTGAAGGCGTCCAATTGCTCGGGTGCAATGAGAACATCCCAAGTTCCACGAACTTCGTTCAAGGTCTCATGGGGAATGGAGGCAAGCGCCCGCTTTGCTGACGCATACTGAGACCCAGTAGACCGGAGGCGGTGGACCTGATAGCCATCATATGAGACGGGTTGGGGGCTACGGATCGTGGCACACGTAGCGAGTGATAGCCAAGCAAGACTGAGTACGAACTTCATGATGATGATCCACTGAGGAAGTGGTCAACTGAAAAGCGTGAGGAACTTGAGCTGCGTAGAGTGCGGGTTCTTTATACTTTTTGCATGTCCAACAACTTGGCGTACCGCCCGTCTGTTGGTACCATGATAAGCACAAAGCATGTCTTCCCAAGCCATGACCATGAATATTGGCGGCTCAACGTGCGCACTGTGACATGGGTGATGTTGCCCAAGAGCCCGCTTAATCGTGGATAAGATACAACTGGGGTATTTCCCCAAGTCGTGGTGGTCTTGACCTGCCGGTTCTGCATTAGGTCTTCCATGGCATTTCTGGGCGAGGGGTAGTAACGTCATATGTTGTCTTACATACTGTTTTTCATGAAGATGTACGATATTTCGGCTGATGTACGACCGAGCGCAGTCTGTTGTGTTGTAGCAATTGCATATATAGATTGCGGCGTAGTGAGTTAAGCCGCGTGGCTGAGTTCCAAGGGTGCCCTTCGCAAAGCACACCTGCAGTAGCACCACGATGGACATCGAACGGGAGCAGTCAGTACAAAGATTGCCAGTACTAACCCATACCGAACACAGTAGAACAGGTCTGACGTACCGATCGGACTGACAAGAAGATGAGGGGAAGGTTGCACATAGAGCATGGAACCATCTCGGAAGAGTAGAACGCTAGTCTGCATCTGGACTAGTCTGTTTTTCCCGTGCCAACGCAACCGTGACACCCGGCCCCAAGGATCGAGGTGTACGTTCCAGTTTGCTGGATGCCTGAACTTTGTAGGGCAAGGATATCCAGTCCATCATAGCACTGGCCAAGCAAAAGCGTCTATCGAACGACGTTGGATACTATGTTCGACGAATGTATGCCTATCAATCCGCTCATTCATTCATGTGGCCCGCGATGCAGGATGGAAGGACATGCATGAAACTCCTACAGCATTTCAGGTGCAATCTCAAATACTTCAAAGAGCCCTCATACTTAGGTACATTGCAGCGAAACTCCGCAGTAAAAGCACTACACCGGAAGTACAGTATAGGAGCGCGACCTTGCATTCCACTTACTTGAGATAAGTTTCAACTTATACCATTTCAAGTGCTCCACAACATGGAGAAGCAATTAAGGTCTATACACACAAGATGGCTTCGCCAACTCTCGAACCTCAGACCTGACTTCAGTCCACCTCGGGATCTCAAATGGTCTTAAGTGTCCACAGCATGATCAGACAAAGGGACGAACAATGTACAAGCGGTCATCTTTGTTTCCTTGTCGTCTAGATCTCTCTTACACTGTTTCTCTCCAATCGTGATCTTTTCACTACATGTACAATGACTTTCACATTCGGGTCGAAAATTAGCAACAATGCTAGCCAGTATTCGCTACTCGGTGAATGACTTGAGAAGTCTTTCTCTAGCCTGATATATCACGGTACATCCAAAGATTTACTGCGAGCAAGAGAGCTACCCCTCTAGCTCCTACATGATTTGTACTCATTCACTCCACTTTGTGTCGGTACTGGATTCGATCTGAGGGTCTGTATATCATTTCTAACTATAAAATACTGCTAGTAAGGTCACTACTGACTCAGTCATCAAAAATAAACCTATGCACAGGAAGGTGGTCCTTCAACTCCGCTGTTCAGACAACACTGATCATCAATAATGTCTCCACCTACCTTCACACGGCATAAGATTCAAGACATGTTCAACATAGCACAATTGAATGCTGGAATTCTCTTCGCAAACATCACTTTCTTACGCGACGAACTCCAAGTGCTATTCCGGGAGAATCTCATGGACTGCAACTTGCAGGAGGTTGTTCCGATGAGGTTGCTATTTCAAGCCTTGAAAATCGAGCGCTCCATCCTGGATGCTTATAATAAGCATCGTCTCAATAAAGCAGTCACTGACTTCAACAAGTATGCTGAGAGAACAGAAGATGTTCTAGAGTACAAGGAAGAGGACAACATTCCAGAGGAGCTCGAATGGTTTCCACTACGCGCTGAGGTTGCAAAGCACGGTATAGAATATACAGCACCACCTATTTACCAATTCAAGGCCACCGAAGAAGGGTCTGTCACCCACATAGAGGTCGTTTCCAGTAAGACTGCGAAGAGCAGGCCGCCTTCTAAGGGAAAGAAGTCTACCGGTTTCGGTTCTGCAAGCTACGACAAGTTGAGGGATGCGCCCTCGGCCTGGTTGGATCTTCCCCATGGCAACCTCACTTTGGTAGAGATAACTGCCTTTGTTCCGCACGCTATCAAATCCTACGATATGATGGACCGCTTCCTCTACAACGGCGCTACTTCGGGAACCTTTGCAACCCTTATTAATCAATACCGGCACATGCCATATGGGCCTATAGGGAACAACAGCATCTACCGCATGATGAAGGGACCTATGGACCATCGTGCAAAGGCTGATCCGACTTACGAGAAATGGACAGTTGCCAAGCACGCAGCTATAAAGAAGCCTAATGCATTTGATCCATTTAGTGTTAGCGTAGCAGGCTTTCGCACTCCTATCAATTTCAACTCTCGTCAATCTGCTGCTGCTACAACGCAACCTCTGCCTAGCATCTCGTTTCACGACATGGCAAATGGTGTCAAGACTATGCCATCAGGGTACGATGCACTAGACCTTACTCGATGTGTGGCATATTGTGTGAAGCACAACGACGAAAGCTGGAGATATCCACAAGACTTCGAGAAACTCGTTGCTCTACTCGGAGGTGCTGCTGCTGTACATCGCGAGCACCGAGACGAGGCCGCCATCTTGAGACACATGTCTGAACAGAAGCGCATAAACGTTAAACGAGCCGGCGCACGACAGCGTGAAGATCTCGGGCACTTCAACAGACAAAAAAAGGGCTTCATAGTGGATTCCGACGAAGAAGAGGCTTTGGGTGAGGAGTTTGAAGAAGACTCTGGAGAGGGTCTAGAAGATTCGGATTCGGATCTGGATACCGAGGACGATGATGAGCCAGTAATTACGACTAAGAAGGGCGGCGAGCGCAAGTGTGCCTTCAAAGATGATATGTCGGATGGAGATGATTTCATGCAGAAGACTGGCGGGTCATCGAAGCGCAAACGTACTACTGAAAATGACGAAGATCACGGACAAATCCCGAGCAGGCGAATATTCAGACGCAGCAAGAAGCCTCCACTAAAAGCGCATGCTCATCGTCTAAAGAAGCCGTCCTCATCTCACCTTCGCAAGGAGATCCTGCCCGAAGGCCTGGACTCTGAGTCTGATGGAGACACCTACGCTGTACCTAAGAGGTGGAACAAGAAAGCCGCTGTTGCAACTCGCACCTCTGCTCGCAACCGACCATTCAGTGGCTCGTATATCGCTGAAGAGGTCCCAGAAGCTAATGAGGAAGAGAAAGGCCTGGAAGATGAGATTGATGGCGCAGAAAACACTCTAACTCAGAAGAGGCAGTTCTTGACTGCAGCGCAGATGCGCCGACTCGGCCGCAAACAGAACGTGGATATAGGTGATGCCGTCGACGAGGACGAAGACGAAGATAATATTGGAATGACAGAAGAAGGCGCCTCTGGAGACGAAGACCATTTCGATTTGCGAACCGAGCGCAACCACTGTCAGCGACCATAACGCTGAATGGCATATCCCGCACTGTTCGCGGCAATAGCTTATACGCGCATCTGGTACCCTCGCATTCTTGTGATAGCTTCTGATTCTTCTCTGTCGTGCCTGGGAATATGTCTGCTAGTGATGGATGTAGGCGAATCGTAGCGTAGCAACTTACTTGATCAAGTCTCGTAGATTTATCGTGATCTGTTGACATATTCTCATTCCTTGTCTGTCTCGCCTCCTCCACTGACTCTGCAAACGTAGTAGATGCGCATTTGTTCGTTGGGTAAGTATGGTCGCGCATGCTGCTCGTTGCTTTGGCGATAACCTGTTCAACGCTTGTCTCTGTCCTGCCAAAGTCAGTCGAACTGTTTTCACATGCTCCAGCAGTGGCCTTCCTATAGTGCTTGTTACTATATCTAATCGACTCACATAGATCTGGGGTCTCAGGCTACGAGTTGTCGCCATCGCAACTTGCGATCTGGTTATAACGATCAGCAGGATCGAGACGGATGTGAGTTCTAGCGTGTGCCCTATGCTGAATTTGGGCGGATGTGGGAGGCTAGGTCTCAACAGCCAACGCGTTAGCATTCCTAGTGCTCCAGCCACCACATCAACGCGTCTGGACGCGTCGAGTCGATCTCCTCTGGAACTTCGGCTTGTCTCGTTTGTAAGTGATGTGATGGGCGACTCTAGCACTTTTCTCATGTCTCGATAATTAACGTACAATAAGCCGCAAAAGATTCGTAAACTGCCTATGTCGTATTGCACATGAGAGCCTGTGTTGGGCCATCCATTCACGTAGTAGTAATGTCAAACACACTTTGTCCACTCCGCGCGTCCACCCCGCATTGCTCACGCATTGCTCCACACGCCGTTGTCTTCTTCTTCACCTTTCATTTTCACATCCTACCTTCACTCTCACGCTCATGTGCTCATCAGTTTTGGCGGTTGCAGGCACGAGGCTGCCGATGCTGCCCGGGTGCGCGCCCAACGGTAGCGCACACCCGATTGGCCACAGGGCAAGTCATTACCCACGGCCGCTACTGTGACATACGAACCATGGGAGCTCTCGGTCAACACGCACCTGCCGACGAGGGTCATGCAAACCCTTTGTGCATAAACAAAAGCACGGCTGGAATGGACAATGGCGCACCATGGATCAGCAGTCTCGTTTGTCTCTCCCGCCTATCACCGCCTAAAGTCATATCACCATGGTGAAAACGGAGACAGTGAGAGAAGTACTGTACGGCACAGCGTGCAACAGCATCGTAGCTACAAGCCACTCTCCGTGGGCTTGAGGGCCACAAAGCGACCTTCCGAACCAAGGTCGACCAGAAGGCAGAGGACCGCACTGCGCGTGAATGACATATTGTCCTAACCCAACCTTGCGCAGAAAAAAACACATCGCTACACAGTCCTCCCACCCACGATGGTTGAACCATCAGCATACTCGCAGAGCCAAAGAAACCCGCACTTGACACGAAATTTCCGTGTGGATGAACCCGTACGCACACATACAGTATTCAGCTACAATCAACGCACTCGAAGTCAAGGCTGTTACCATGGATACCAAATCAACAAAGGAAAGACGCAAGACACTCTGAAGGGCTCCCATTATGAACAGTCTATGACGGATGCCCGAATCGAAGCGTACGAAGACGCCGTCACCACGAAAGCCTGGCACGATGAGTGGGAGATAGAACCAGATGATTTTGGAACACCTGAACCACTGCTCGTCCTCAACCGACGTGCAAATATCGACCTAAGGAATCACGCTCGGCAGACGAAGTCGACATATCTATGTCACTGGGATCAAGGCCATGAACCGCGTGGTGTACTTGCTCAGCGCTTGGCAGAAGCAAACCGATCTACGGAGAAGGAACAAGCTGGCATATGCATCGGTAATGAGCAAGACTTGCAACGCATGAGAGTGAAGCGCGCTGTGCGGAACGCGGAGGTAATCGACTTGACAGGAGACGATACCGTTGGAGAAAGCAAACTCAGGAATTGTGTCGGTATCGAGAATGTGGAGAACTACCCCCCAGGAACTATGGCGCAACCATGGGAAATCTAGAACTGGATACTAGGTCAAGCAAAAACAGCCTACTCAAATCTGCTCAGCCTTCGAGTATGTGATAAAGTCAGACAGTTTTCGGTTACATCAGTCAATATCGGAAGAGCTGCTAGCTTCACTTTTAAAATCCTTCCAACTCTTTGCTGCAACCTCTCTCGACGCAGGAATGAATTTGCTGTCGAATCTTGTGATAAACAAACTGTCGTGGTGAAAGTACCGAACTTCACTATGTTGATCGTTTTGATTGCTTATCCACCGACTTCTGGGTATCATTTTATCATTCACTTCATTTGTCCTGAGGTCCGTGTGCATAGAAAGGTCCTCTTCTCTCCTAGTACAATCGTGACAGCTCATATCGTATCGCAACAACTGCAGCTTCAACCAGACCTTATCGGTTTCCTCCCAGCTAAACTCAACAACAGCTAAGAGCCTCACAGTTACTGGTTCAGTCAGTAGAACATTGAAATCGTCCATAAACGAGCGGTGCCTCGGTATGCAGTCAGGCTTTGGAAACCAGCCTATACCAGATGCTACGCACCATCTCCCAATTTCGAGGCCTCACAGACATCATAGGTCAAAGGGCGATGATCTAGCGACGCCAAGATCTTCACTGAGAGGGAGACCGCGGGCGCAATTTCTCTTGGACATCCCGGCCTACGAGTACAAACTGCCTAAGGAGATGCCAATCAATGCAACAATCGTGGATCTCATCGCGGTCGTACCGCAATGGTTCCGCAACCCTGGCATCACATGGCGCTTCATGAATAATGGTATCAATGCAGCTGTTCATTTTGCAATTCTAGAACAGCATAGACATCTTGGCTTGACTAACGTCGAGGAAGCTGAACGCGCCCGCGACCATATCTCAGACACATACCGGAAGACGATGCGTAAAATGGAAAACTTTTCTGGGTGGACAAAAGCAGGACACAATATTCCAGATAACTGGAATAAATTGAACATCTCCGTCAGCGGTTATCTTCCGGAATCTGCCAAAAAGATTGGTTACGTCACACCGGCATCTATTCCTTTCATTGTCCTTGCAGTTGGTCTGAAGAAGCTCCCTCAGGGTTATGATGCTGGTGACTTAAGTCGCGCACTGCAGTTTGCAATGCAAAATCAGAAGCTTGGTGAACATGGTCGACCGACGGAGTTCATGTTCCCAGACGATATTCAGCCCATTCTTGATCATATTGGCCATACTCGAAATACAGACAACCACGTTGATGATACTGTTGTGAGGCATTACTACCAGGTTCTGAGAGATGCGGATGGGACGCGTCGTAAGCAGTTCTTAGAACAGCGCCGCCAGCAACAAGCTGCTGACGAAGCCGTCGTCAATCGCGCACATCAGTCCCAAATGCATCATGCGCCGTTATGTCAAGAGAGCCCGGGAGGACATGGCACACACCGATCACCGCTGGAAGCTACATCACGAGCATCATCTGTTCAACTACACATGCAGCCCGCAGCCAGCGTTCCAGCTTTGAGCTCTGGCCACGAAAATATACCTCCAGCAGGAATGGGTGCCTTAATGCCTGCTGCTTTCCATGATTCACCAATGACACAAGATTTCCTCCCGAATATAGCTCAAAGCTTCATGTATGACCAAACACAAGATCAGGGTCGTGGTAGAACTGCTATGAGTGGTGCCAATTATAGCAGCCCTTGCATATCGCATGCAACCCGGTCGAACTCGCAAGAAGCCGCTGCAAATATAGCATCAGAACTCCTAGCTCAAGGTGCTCAGAAGGCTTATGTAGACTTTCCGGACACCCCAGACATCTGTAAGTTTGAGACAGACGATCAAAAAGGTCCTTTCGTTGTGGAAAACTGGTCACATCTAGATCCTCAACGCGCCACAGAGGCCGTGGATGCACTAATGGCCGTACATCAAACTTACGATCTGAACACTTCTCCTAATCCCATACGATACTTACCGCAGGCTCGTTACCGTTACCATCCTTCCACAATCCTGCGAAATGGCCCAGAAGAGTTGGATCTAGATGATCATAGCGATCTTACTCGAGCATTACCATGTGCGCGGCAATGATAGTATTCATGCAATGACTTGGATCTTGGGAATATCGATCTAGCCCTCACTGCGATGAACATGTCTGAGGCGATATCTAAGCTAAATGGGCATTGAGCAGCTTATCAGGTAGTCTTTGGGTCTAGAATGGAAACGCTTTGCAAGATGCACCATAGAACGTGTGTTTAGAATTTTCTTAGAAGGGTCGACGCTACGTATGGCTAGATGCAGGTTTGTGCAAACTGGAGAAAGCGCCGACGTAATTGCATGGCTGAACAGCTATTAATCATGAGCCCGGGTCTTAGGATCATCGGCATTCTAGAGTGGTTTGTTTCATTTCACAATAGTCAATTTACTTCTCTCCCTTCTTCCGCGCGCTTTCCACTTCTTCTACCATCTGCTTCGTCCGCTTCACCCATATCTCAATCTCCTCCTCTGCAGTATGAAGCCATCTCCTTGATACATCCTCACTACTGAGGCGATTTGACTGTTTTCCGCGCAAGGCTTCTTCTACAGCATACGATGCGTATTTGATCGATCTTTGGTGTGCTGCGAGATACTCAATGAGCTGAATTTGGTGCGCGGCTCTGCGTATGCCTGTATCAAGATCTTGGGAAACGTTTATGGGGCTAGCAGCTACCGCGTGTTCTGTTTGACTTGATGCGGCTTGCGTGACCATGATCTCTAGCACTTCGCTAGATATACCCTCGAGGAGATAGAGAAGCAAGTCGGATGCCGGTCACCAAGAGCTTTTAACGCAGTGTCACTCTTGAACGCCTAATACAGCGTTGCTTGTATCTCTGTTCGTCACAACTAGTCGTTCGTGTCATGAATATACAAATATAACGATCGATCATGAGCCAGTACTTGACGCGCAAACTTCACATGCCAGCGTCTTCACGTCGTGCCGTATCTCCAGATTCGTTTGGTTCTGCGTCACTCCTGGCCAGCACATTATTCTGCATAGCAGTGTCCTATCTCGTATGGCTATCGCTTCAACACACGAGCGGTATGCTCCTTTCAGCACGCCCAAAAGACGACACACCCTGACCAACGGCTTCGAAAGTGGTAACTTGGCTTTTTCGCGAACAATCTCAAGCTACGCATGCGTCGTAGCTGTGCACTCGATTGGCAGACCTCGATCTCGGACGTTATCAGCAAAGGAGTGTCCTATTGTAAAGCTTCGTTAGCATGTGTCATGTCTGGTGAAGGTCAGACGCAGGCGAGAACGAGATGCCTGCTCAGTCGGTGTAATTGTCGTCCGAGTTAATACCAATGTAACGAATGCATACGTCATGATCTAGAGACTCTTGGCGGTACAGCCTTATTAGGCCTCCTGCCAATACTTCAACGCATGGCACGTAGCAAGAACTTGCATCGGCTTCTGCTTCTTCATTGCTGTTGTTTAGAACTTTCAAGGCCTGTTTCTGTGATCTTGGATACTTTACTATGGCACCACTATCTCTCTACATCAGCTTTTACACCTCTTTAGCAAAGGCAATATCCACCCTCATTTTCGCACGCCTCTATAACCCCCAAAGTCCTCCGTATCGCAACCTCAAAGGTCAAAACGCAGTAGTAACAGGCGCAAACAGCGGTATCGGTCTCTCGATCGCGACTGCGCTTGCGAAACAAGGGGCCACCGTGTATCTTGCCTGCCGCAATGTCGAAAAAGGCCATGCAGCTGTTGCTTCTATCGTTTCGCAGCTAGGTCACGAAGCAGCCACAAGAGTATTTTGCTGGAAGGTAGATGTCGGAGATTTGCACAGCGTGCGAGCGTTTTGTGAAAAATGGGGAGAAGAGGGCAGGAGGATCGATATGCTCGTGTACGCGATGTGCCTGGACGACATGTTTGTGAGACACATACTGACAGCTTGCAATAATATTTAGGCATAATGCAGGAATCCCAGAACCCCCGGTCGGCACAAGGAAGACAGACGAGAAAGGTCGGGACATTGTTCTAGTTACAAATTTCCTCGGGAGCTTTTTGATGACATGTCTCCTCGAGAAGTATCTAAGTGAAAAGGGACGAGTGGTATTAACGAGTAGTACTGGACATTATGGTGCATCGGGGACGGTGATGCACGCTAGGCCTGCAGGTGTAGCTACGAAGACCGCTGGTGATGATGGCAGTGTTGCCCAAGGACTGCTGGGAAAGCTGAAAGCGTACCTTGGTATGGGTACTGGCACTCTTCATTCCTATGCGCTTTCCAAAGCTCACCAAGTCCTCTTTGCCGCAATCCTTCAGCGCCGTTTTGATTCTACTCAAGACAACCAACGTACAGTACACGCGTTTACTCCTGGATTTACATCCACGCCAATATTTGCCAAGTTTGCCTTTGGCTGGAAAACATGGTTCACCAATCCTACTTTCGCTCTTCTCAAAGTAACTGAGAAGTATATCGCAGTTGGTACGGATGAAGGTGCAAAGACTGGGTCTTGGCTGGCGAGCTGTGGCGGAGAGCGCGGAGTTGAAGGGGGTGGGTATTGGGAATGGATGAGCAGAAAGACGAGCCTAATCGATCTTGTGGAAGGGGATCTTGGGGATGAGGAATGGAGTAAGGCTTGCGGAAGGGTTTGGAGGGAGTGGGAAGACGATAGTGGGTGCACTTGGGATGTGGCGCTTTGATGCAGACAAAAAGGGAATTCTAGCCAGCTCAAAACCCTTGTACTGGAGCTTGATATGGATACTGCTGCGTGCCGCGCACAAAGGTGCAAGACGTATTGACAAAGTTGTAGATGGAGCATGTTTCGATCACGCGTCCACGCACAAAAAAGCGCAAAATGAAAAGACGTATCGCTCTAACTGCTGTTGGTTTGGATGGAGCGTGCATGCGTGATGATGTTGGTGAATAATGTATGCAAGTCTGGTTAGCGTAATCTGTTAAAAACTAAAATATCTCCCGGCTCAACCCCGACCAATTCAAATCCAACCCCACCCGCACAAAAAAATGCAAAAAGAAGATATACAACGATCTAGCTGCTGCTCGTTTCGATCGAGCGTCCTCCGGGTTATGAGCCCGGCGCGCTTCCGCTGCGCCAAGCAGCTTTGGTGCTCGTTGTGGAAAGTTTGGCAATTAACGAGAATACAACGTCACGCGACCACGGGCTGTTATTCAGCATTGCTGTACGCCGAATCCTGATCACAAGGGCAGTAGAGCCAAAGGTGGGGCCGAGTAAAGGGAATCGCATCTTACTTAGGTACCCCTCGGTTGTATGGTGCATGAGACGGCGGCAGGTACGTAGCAGTACTACCCGAACGCTCAAGCTACCCTTCGTCAGTGAGGCTCTCTGAATGCCAAAGCAGTAGGTGCAAGATGATGGTGGAATCGATGTGTATGGTGAGCCGCATACATCGCACAAACTGGCACATTCAGAGTCTGTGTCCAGGTGACAATGCAACGTAGGAGGGCACCGGAAAGAACGTGTCTGACGGAAGAAAAGGTGCACGCTGCAGTACACAGCAAGAAACGAAGATTCGATAGTCTTGCATGATGAGAGATCGCGGGACAACCGCTTGGTGACGCAAGTATGGCCACTTCGATCAACGGGACTTGGGACGAGAGCGAATGTGGCTAGCGGCAAAACGCGCTTCAACGCGACCCGCGTGGACGCGTCCTCGCACTTTAGACACTTCCGCTCCGTCACGCACGCATCCCCGTAAACCCAAATCATGACCTCTGCCAGAACCGATGAGTAGCTACTCACCAGGCATACCGACCTCCTTCGACCCTGCACTACTACATTCCGAATTCGAACTCCTCGATAACGCGCCCACTTCGCTCTCCCATTCCGACGAACTCGACGCATTGCAACAGTGCATTACCGAAGACACAGTAAAGAAGAACCGTGCAGGCGTCGTCATACAACATCGCGCCTGGAACGTTGCAGATATCTTCAGGAGCGAAGGAGAAGGTCCAGCTGGTACTACGAGCGTGAACGCGCGCTGCAGCTAGCACTAATCCCACCAGACACACCTGCGAAGCGCCACAAGCAGTCGCCAGCCAAGCGCTTGACCACCGACTCTTCGATTGAAGTCACAACCTTCCCTTCCTCGCCCCCAGTCTACACAATGCCGCTCATTTCGTCACCCATCGCATACCCGCCTAGCTCGTCGATGCCACAGGCGCCGTCACCGAAGAAAAGGAAGCGTCCAGAAGATGCACGAGAGCCGCTGAAGGATGTGCCAAACAACAACGCAACACGCAAGATTGGAGGCTTCCTGGACGACTCCGACGACGAAGAAGACATTGCGGCGCTCAAGGAACACACGCTGAAGAGAAGAGCAGTGAGCAGTATCAAGGATCTTCCGGCTGTCCCAGAAGGCTTAGGAGACTATACACCACCTGCGAGCCAGGATGAATCCGCCGACCCCGAATCGATACCGGTAGACGACCTCGACAATTACAGCTTCAAGTCTAGATCACAGTCGCCAGTAAAGCGACCACAAATGCTACGAGAGTCAACTTTAGCGCAGCACACGCGTGGCACCGTAGCCCGTAATGCGTCAGGGAAGGTTTTTCACATAAGCAAGAAGGCCGCACGCGAAAACCAGACGTATGAAGAAATTATTGCAGCACGGTCGGAACCCGTGGAAGGCAAGGCAAGGACGAGCTATTATGGTCTGAATATCCACCAACTCATGGACGAGGCGAAAGCGCTCGATCAAGAAAAGATCGCGAATGCGTCTCTGAAGACTCATGAGCAACCACATCCGTCGATCGAGCAGCCAATTGCCAGAACCGCAAAGACCAATCGCACACTCATGTGGACTGAGAAGTACCGAGCAAAGAAGTTCACAGACTTAGTAGGAGATGAGCGTACACACCGATCAGTGTTGCGTTGGTTGAAGGCGTGGGACCCGATCGTATTTCCTGGCTCCAGCAAAACGAAGCCCAAGAAAGCAAAGAACGGATTCGAAGACGATGAACAGAGACATCGCAAGATATTATTACTGACTGGACCGCCCGGACTCGGAAAGACTACGCTAGCTCATGTTTGCGCTCGTCAAGCCGGTTACGAAGTCCAGGAGATCAACGCTTCAGATGAGCGCAGCGGAGCTGTTGTCAAGGGCCGCATCCGGGATATGGTTGGGACTGAGAATGTGCGTGGGGTCAATACTAGTACTGTGGATGGAAAGGTGCGCAAGGCTGGGAAACCAGTATGCGTTGTAGTGGATGAAGTGGACGGAGTTGTTGGTAGTGGAGGCTCAGGTGAAGGCGGTTTCGTCAAAGCTCTAATCGACCTGATCAATCTCGACGAGCGCAACACGAAAGCACTAGGGCAGCACCAATCCAGTACCGGTACCAAAAAGAGGAAAGGGGACAAATTCCGACTCTTGCGACCCCTCATTCTCATCTGTAATGACCTCTATCACCCTTCGCTACGGCCGCTACGACAGTCTTCGATGGCTGAGATCGTACACATCCGCAAACCCGCTCTCAACATGGTCGTTTCACGCATGCAAGAGATCTTCGGAAAAGAGGGCATTCAGTGCGATTCAGACGGCGTGCGCCGCCTCTGCGAAGCTACATGGGGTGTCAGCACGAAGAAAGAGGGCGGAACAGGCAGCGGGACCGGTGAAGGAGACATTCGTGGAGTCATGGTAGTCAGCGAGTGGATAGCAGCTCGCTTACGGTCATCGCATGATATCAAGTCAAAGGAGAGGCCTCATCTATCGCGGAAGTGGATAGAAGACAACCTAGTTGGTGACCTGCGCCACGGTGGTGGAGCTGCTCGAAGCCTAGGAAGAGGTGGCGCAAAGGATGTTGTTGATCGTGTATTCCGTGAGGGTGCTGGCTTTCCAAAGCAAGCTGAAACGACAGATGCAAAATCGGCAGCTGCGCGGGCCAAGAGCGGCGTCATCGGTGTCGCCGAAGCAGGCAAACGACGTGCTATGGATCGCCTAAGGGAGATGGTTGACACAAGTGGAGACTGCGACCGCATCGTGACAGGTATGATTTATTCAAGCTCACGCATTGATGTCATGCTAACAACAAACAGATTGCTTCACTGCTTATCCCGAAAAGCCGTTCCAAGACGATACCCTCCTGAGCAAGCCATCTGCTGCATATGAATGGCTGTATTTCCATGACACACTCAACTCAGCAGTTCACGGCTCTCAAGAATGGGAATTGGCACCATACCTGTCTAATTCTGTTCTCGCCTTGCATGACCTCTTCGCGTCGCCCATTCGATCATCTGTAAATCCTATAGCAGACCCAGATGCACAGCCAACGCCGTTCTCTGGACCTGGTGCAAGCTTTGCAGCCCTCGAACAGTCAAAGGCTAGTAGAAGCCAGTTGATGGCGCTACAAACAAGCCTGACTTTGCCGTTAACGCGCATGTTCAGGAGTCCAGAGGAGATGGCCATGGAGCTCATACCTTACGTCTTGCGCATGTTAACTCCCGACGTAAAACCCGTCCTCGTCAATACTGGTGCATCGGGATCAAAGTCCTTCGCTACCGCCTCTGTGCGTAAGGCTTCGGAGAAAGAGCTTGTCAAGAAGGCTGTAGAAGCCATGGCAGCTACTGGTGTTCGATTCGAAAAGTCAAGAATCGAAACTGAGGACGTGGCAAACAGAAGTGCTGGCTTCGTCTGGCGAATGGAACCTGCTTTAGACGTCTTAGCAACCTTTGAGACGCTGGCTGGCAAGAAGGACGACAAGGGACGTTATGCAGTTCGCAGCGTCTTGGAGCAAGAATGGCGCAAAGAGTCGGCCCTCCGCGAACAAGCGAATCGCAAACGTCGTGGTGGTCAAGACGAAAACGACGAAGAAACAGAGGCTGACAAAAAGGAAGAGCAGACTACTGAAGAGAAGGTCGCAGAAGCCAACAAGAAGGCCGTAAAACGTGACTTCTTTGGCAGGGTGGTTGTCGAAACAGACAAGAGTAGGAAAGAGGCGAAGAGGAAGCAGGATAGTGGGGAGATGCAGGGTAATGTGGGGAGGATATGGGTATCCTTCCACGAAGGATTCTCGAATGCGGTGAGGAAACCTGTTACCATTGATGATATCATGAGGGATCTCTAGTTTTACTCTATGCCACGGGAGAGGTGTCATCGACGAATGACAATAAACATATCATGACTCTACCCGAGAACGACACAGATGTACGTGCTCATGCTTTTCTCGGCCCAAAAGGCGCCTGGGATGTGCATATTTCTCATACTTGAGTATATTCTACCATGTGCCAGACCTCGTTGTATACTGCCAGTATTTCCTGGCGCAAGTGTATTAATACGCGCCTCACCTTGATCGAGGGCGATTGGCAGAGTGAGCCTAGATGATGTCACCTAGTGTACGGCAGTCACATTCGAGCCAGCAAGCTTCTGCTTCGCGGCATTGATCCTCTCCAGCTCTATCTCCCTTTGCTTATCGTCCAAGTTGTCTGGAAGCGTACCGAGCGCACGATCACCAAACAGCAGATCGATCTCCTCAAGAGTAAGCTGCTTGGTTTCCTGAAATACATGTCAACGATTATTTCCTCCCTAAGCTTTTCGGATTTTGCACATACCTTGAACACAAACCAGATGGTGGGGAATGTAACACAGACGTTGAAGGCCACGAAGATGAAGTAGAACTTGTACGTGATCTCACCCAGCCCAATCGGTGACACCTGACTCCACAC